AGAGAAACCGGGGGGGTGGGAGCGCCAGATTGAATGGTACCCCTTGCTGTCCTCAACCAAAAGCCTGGTGGAACATCTCTGCCTTGCGAGCCCTGTGGAACTGCATTAGGTCCCACAGGACACAGATGTTGTTCGATGGAGAGTTCCAGCAGGTAGGAGCCAGGTCCGAAAAGGCCCTGACTCTGGTTGCGAGGACAGCCGGACGTCTTTTGGGCTGGGGATCGCCAGCAGGTTGTTCTCTGCAGGGCGTAATACTTTTTGGGGGGGGACATACCACAGGAGGCGGTCCTGAAGATATGCAGTTGTATGGAAATGCAGTATGAACCACTCTGTGATTCTATACCTTGTGTAATCCACCTTGAGACTGTGAGATAGGTGGGACTATAAGTAATGTAAATAAAATGTAATCCACCTTGAGTCTCGGGGAGGAAGGCAGACTATAAATAACACGGATCAAAGAACGAACACCTGCTTTTAGGATGCACATTACGAACCACATTGAAAGGAGGGGAGTATAAACGTTTTAATAAATTAATAATAAAAATGAAGGAGGAAATGAATATCGCCATTGGCTGAGGCTGGATCTTGCTCACTAGCCACACGGGTGACTTACATAACGGAGAGAAACACACTGAGTACCTGGGTCTGGACAGATGCTTCTTGACTGAGATTGCCGAGCTGCGCGGTATATCTTTTCAGCTCCTCAACCGTTGGAGTTCTTACACTCGATGCAGCACCCTTGGGCAGGATATTTATTTTGGTAGTGATCTAACATTTGGAGAAAACAAAATGTGTTTGGACAAACGCGGGAGATTAACATCACAGGTAGCACACCACGTTCTTCTCAGAAAACCTGACGATTCAAAGCAAGCGGGTCACAAAGATAATCGGGATATTGCTGTGCCTGCTCTCAGCATCCGGCCTGAAACTGGCCTGCAATCCCACATCTGCTGTACCTGTACAAATATATGCAAGTGGGATGTATGCACATGGGGCTGAAATTCTGTCTTATTTATTTTATTTATTAATTCCATTTGTATCCCGCCCTCCCTGCGAACAGGCTCAGGGAGGCTTACAGTAATCGGTACAAGGTACCATAAAATCCATACAAAAACATTTTAAACATCTTAAATCAGTCAGATGATCATAAAGTGCTAGTAGTACTAAACATTCCATCACTAATTGAGATGGCGTGCTATATGATGTAACAGCAGACAATTTCAGATTAAGTAATTGTCTGGCGTCACACGATGGAATGGCTCGGTCTCAAAGCTGGGGCCGGCCCAAACCACAGATGTTGGTGGTAGTGGTGAGGGTGGCTCCTAATTGAAAGCCTGGTGGAAGAGCGCCTGCTTGCAGGCCCTGCGGAACCGTAGAAGATCCCGCAGGGCCCTGATCTCTTCCGGGAGCTCATTCCACCAGTATGGAGCCACCACTGAAAAGGCCCTGGCCTTAGAAGCAGCGAGCCTGGCATTCTTAGGGCCTGGGAGGGTCAATTGGTGTTGTGACCCCGACAGTAGTGCTCTCTGGGGTATATATGGGGAAATCCCTCAGGTATGTCGGATTTCAGACCTTTCAAGGCCAACAGGGCTCATTCTGTATTTTGGTGAACCACAGTGTGGCTTGAAATAATCCAACAAATCAAGAAATGGCATGGTGGGGAAAATTCACGTCAGAGTGTAGAGGAAGAACTACACAAGCGTAAGGAGATAAAGAACGTCACATCTGCTCCGAGGCAGTGAACAAGTGGACAAGCCAAAGACAATGTTGCCAGGTTTATACTACTAACTATTCTCTAAAAGGATATTGTAGTGGCCAGGAGTGGTGGACTCTAATCTGGAGAACTGGGTTTGGGGGAGTGGGGAATCAAACCTGGTTCTCCAGATTAGAGTCCGCCGCTCTTAACCACGACACCAAACTGAATAAACTCAAATTCGGCAATCTCAGGGTGGTAAGCTCCCCTTTAAGCTTCTCTGTTTGAGGACGACTGCTCTTAGGTCAGTGAAGAAATATTCTGGAAGATTAAAATGTCCTCCCACTGGTTTTTGACAGTTGTGGTTTTAAATCTCGGATCTATGTTCACTTACTCTTTTGCGTAGGGGGCTGACCTATCTGTCCGATGTAGAAGGATTAGCTAGAAAGGTATTCGACACTAACCTGAGGTTCAGTGAGTTGGCCGTGAGGTGGCCTCATCTTGAACAGCAGCTCTTCTTCCAAGTACCGCCACTTGTCACCCACCGGGTCCTTTGTGATGAGATCGGGAGGTCCATTTCCCAAGACGGATGCCTCATGACTGATTAGGAGGTGACATGAATGAGAGAAAGAGAGGGAGAGAGAGAGAGAGATTATTTTGTTGAAACGGTCTAGAACCAAGTCTCCTGGACCTAACACAACCAACAAGGAAGCACCCGAAATCTGAGCTCTGTAAAGTTCTGAACCCCAAACAGGTTTATACTTGGCACTGGGTCTCACTGATTTCAAGTGGTTCTGCTTAGGTATGTGGCATAACAGATTTTGTGGTAGAACATCTTGCTGTTCCACACAAAGGCAATGTGAGAATCCCCAGGTCCCATGGAAGCTCTTCTCCCTTCCAGCACTGCCTCAGCTTTGGGCTACTGGGCACCCCACCTCTGACCCCAGGGTTTCCCAGACAATCCAAGCAGCGTGGGAAAGGACATCCTGGTTCTGCCTAGCTTGCTGGAAAGGGGCATTAATGAACTTGGTCCATGCGTCAGGACTGCAGTCTGACCTGAATCAATGCTCCCAAGAAACAACAAAACTCACAGACAGCACAATCCAACACATTCAAGTTCTCGTAAAGCCACTGTTTTCAATGGGTTTGTGCACCTTAACTATGGGCTGGACTGTGGCTAGAAGCCATGTGTGGTTTGTTAAACCTTCACAGTTTATGAACAAAGTCTGAGTCATAAGAACATAAGAGGAGCCAATGTTGGATCAGGCCAATGGCCCATCCAGTCCAACACTCTGTGTCACACAGTGACCAAAAATACCAGGTGCCATCAGGAGGTCCAGCAGTGGGGCCAGGACACTAGAAGCCCTCCCACTGTTGCCCCCCCAGCACCAAGAATACAGAACATTGAGTCCCTATCTATACCTTGTGGCTAATAGCCACCGATGGACCTCTGCTCCATATGCTTATCTAATTCCCTCTTGAAGCCGTCCATGCTTGTAGCTGCCACCACCTCCTGTGGTAGTGAATTCCATGTGTTAATCACTCTTTGGGTGAAGAAGTACTTCCTTTTATCTGTTCTAACCCGACCGCTCAGCAATCCAGTGACACCTTTAAGAAACAAGTAAGATTCTGAGTATAAGCTTTCGTGTGCAACAAAAGCT